GTGGGGGAGTCGGATTTTGCCCGCCTACCCGCGCTGACTCAGCAGCTCGGCGGGGCGCGCTGATGGCCCGGCCTTTGGCGCGCACGTACTTTCCCCCGAGGGTAATTTAGCAGGCTTTTGATATCACCCTGGTATCGTTCAGATTACACTACTCTTTAGAAAAAAAAATTTTTTAAGATGTGTGCCCTGCTGACTGAGGAACTTTGACTGCGGTGGGTGCGGGTGGGGGGCTCAGACTGGAGGAGGGGGTGGCATTCATCGTCTGGCACCGCGAAGTGAGTTTGTGGAGTCGAGTTGGCGGCAGTGAGCGCCCAGTCATCTGGGAGACCCCGAGGGTTCTGGGCGATGGGCCTACCCCTCCTTGGCTTCCTTCCCCAACCCCTCGCTTCCGCGGAATCAGAAACCAGCGGGATCCCCGGGACCGCCGACCCCCGGGCAGCCTAGCGGGGTGGGGCGGTCCCGGGCACCGCCTCCCTCCTTACCTTCTCTCCCCGTGAAGCACGTAAGAGCTGCGGAAGAAGCCCAAGAGCTCGTTCTCGATCAGGGCGTTGTAGATGATCTTCAGGTTGTAATTCCTCTGCGCGTCCAAGGTCCTATTCAGCACCACCACCAAAACCTGGGTTTGCGGGTAGAGGAAAAAGCCGGCCACCGGGACAGCCCCGGCCACCCGGTCCTCGGCCACTTGCACCTTCTCGACCGCTACCCGGGAGGCGTGCAGCACGACGTAGCGGGTGGCGTTCCGGCACGCGATCTCCACGTTGACCTCCCCGGAGAAGGTGAAGTTTTCCATGAAGGCGGTGAGCATCAGATTGTAGTGCAGCGGCTTGAGGTAGCCCGACAGGCGCAGCCGGGTCCACGGCTGCCGCTGCTCCCGCTCCTCCTCCGACGGCGGCTGGGCGGACGGGGTCCCAGGGGTGGCCTCCCCGCCTGCCTCGGGCTGCAAGGAGTCGCCGCCAGCGTGGTGGTTCCGCGGGGCGGAACCCGGAAGGCTCCCGTTACCGCCGCGCGCTGGGAAGCCGGCGGGGCCGCCGTCGGCGCCCGGCGCTGCGCTTGCCCCACACTCGTCGAAGCGCAAGCTGAGCAGCACCGCGAGCATGGTGACCGCGAGCAACGCCACGATGGACACAGCGAAGGCCAACACGAGCCGCTTGTGCACAGTGATGTGGCGCTCGGTGGTGCGGGGTCGCACACCCACGGAATCCGCCCACGGGTCCGAGAGCCCCCTGCCGCCGGTCCGGAGCGCGGCGTCGTTCTCCCCCATCGTGGCCGAGAAGGGTGAGCTGCTCTTCTCAGCCCCCTCCTCCTCCTCCTTCTTCTTCTTCCTCCTCTTCTTTTTCTTCTTCTTCTTTTTCTTCTCCTCCTCTTGCTCCCCCCGCTCGCCGTCCAGGGCCATCACACTGCCTCCTCCTCCTCCCCCGCCCCCTCGGGCACCCCCCGCGGGCGGGCCACCCGGGCCGCCGCCGGCACAGGCATCAGAGAGCGCACGCGGGCCGAGGGCGCGACTTCAGCTGGGACCCTGGGGATGCTGGCCAGGGTTCTTTAAGACGGGTTCTTTCCGCAGGTGACAGCAGCCTCAGCGCTCCCCATCAGCCCCGCCTCTCTCCGGACACCCGCGGCCGCGGCGAGGGGCGGCGAGCTCTGGGACGCGCCCAACTTGGAGAGCGTCTCGCTCGCCCCACCGCGCGCACTTCCCCCGCGGGCGGCGGGCAGCGGGCGCCCGGGCACAGGCTGCCGCCGCCCCTGTGCTCTTACGGCTCTCGGCTCGCCCTCCCCGGCGCCGAGCTCTCGCCTGGCTTCCGCGGGAGCCTTCCAGCGGGTCCTCGGCTGGGAAGAACGAGGAGCGGCAGAGAGGGAAGTTAGGGCTTCCGCTTTCTCTCCCCACTCCAGCGGCGGCGTTCAGTCCTCCGGGTGGGATGTGCTCGCAGCAGCGGCGGCGGCGGCGGCAGCCGCGGAGGCGTCCGCGCCATGCACTCCTCGGCGGCGGACAGGAGGATGGTCGGGAAGGAAGAAACCGGGGAGAGCCGGCGGGTGAGGTCCCAGGGCCGCAGAGCTGCGCCGGGAGTCTCTCCAGGAGAAGCCTCCTCCTCCTCCCCGGACACTTTAAGCAGCGCTGGCGGCACACGGCGTGAGGCTGCAGACCGGACAGTGAGGCTTCTTCATTCCGACGTTGCTCTGACCTCCGGAGAAGACAAGTGAGCAAGAAGTGTCTGGCCGAACCGTCCCCGTCAGGTAGACGAAGCTTGGGGTTTGCTCTGAATCCCAGTGGGGAGAGGCCGGGGCGCGTGTGTGCGAGTG